AGCAGTCCCCCTTGCCAGGAAGAAATCGACCACCTCAGTCCTACAGCCACAGGAAATGAATTCTGCCAACCACTGGAATGCACCTGAAAGTGGATCTTTATCCAGCTGAGCCTCCAGGGAGGGTGCAGTCAGCTTCCACCTCGATTACAGACTCCTGAGCCCCAGAGCAGAGAACCCAGCCACACTGTGCCAGACTCAACCCACCGAAACTGTGAGATAATGAATTTGTGTTGTTTTAAGCTACTAAGCTTATGGAAATTTGTTATGTAGCAATAGAAAACTAATATATGTGCTCTGATTTGATTAAAGACAAGACTTGTTCAGGCCACTAGACTATAGCTCCGGAGACAACTAGTGGCAACATACTTTTTTTTTTTTTTTTTGAGACAGAATCTCACTCTGTTGCCTGGGCTAGAGTGCTGTGGAGTCAGCATAGCTCACAGAAACCTCAAACTCCTGGGCTCAAGCAATCCTTCTGCCTCAGCCTCCTGAGTAGCTGAGATTATAGGCGCGTGATACCATGCCTGGCTAATTTTTCTATTTTTAGTGGAGATGGGGTCTTGCTCTTGCTCAGGCTGGTCTCGAACTCCTGACCTCAAGCGATCCTCCTGCCTTGGCCTCCCAGAGTGCTAGGATTATAGGCATGAGCCACCGTGCCTGGCCGACACACCCTGCTTGTTGCCCTTCTAGAGAGGTGAATAAACCTCTTTGAAGGTTTATGCTGTACTTCAAAAGGCTCCATCAAAGTAAACATTACATTGACCCCTACGTTTAAAACCTTTCTCAAAGTAAAGTCTATCTTTGGCTTAGAATACCAAGAAACAACTTTTCCAGCCAAGGGTCTTGAGTGGCTATTCTATTTTGTCACCTGTTTCTCAAGTACTTGATCTTCATTCTCTTCTCATACTGTTCAGGGAAGGTAAAGCTCTCAGACCTACCCATTCAACATTTTAAGCTGTTATCCAGACGTGGCAGCTCTGGGTGGTTGTAACAGACAGCATTGGACTTATGAGTTCAACTCTTGGCTCTTAAACTGACTAGTCACGTTACCTTGGGAAAGAGAATTACTTCCTGGATCCCTGGTTTCCTTATTTATAAAAAAAAAATAAGATATTATGATGTATTCCCAGACTGCTCAAGAAAAAGGAGCATGGAGAAACTGCTGGAGTATCAAGGAGCACTCAAATTCTCCCTCTAGAAAGACTCGAAAAGGTGCATAAATCTTGTACCTACAGATCAGGGGAATATTCCTTTATCTTCTTGCTAGTTAAATGGGTTGTCTTCAAGTATTGTGAGATGTGCAAGGGATTAATCTTACCCTTCATGGCCGGTGATATGACGGGGGCAGAAGGAAGGTATGAGAGTCTTTGGACGTAATTTTTATTCAATATAAAGACAAATTAAGATGCAGATGGTGAAAGATCCGATGTGATAATTTTATTGAGGTGCCAAGAAGGCAAGGATAGGAATACAAAATAGGGAAAAGTTTACAGAACTTTTGGCTTTGAATAAGGTGGGATATTCAGGAAGATCAACTCAAGTGTGAGAAATTCTAAGAAGCTGAGATGTGAGGTGGTAGACGCGATATATTAGCAAAGCAAGACTAGCTTCTATGTATGCTTTAAGTGTGTTATTTCTTCTCATTCTCGCACCTATCCTGTGCAGTGGCACTATGATTATCACTTGGGGAGGAAACAGTCTGAAACAGGTTCACTTTCCCAAGTCTCACAGGTAGTAAGTGGCAGGGAGGGGACTTGAACCCAAGCAGTCTTACCTCAGAGCCCTCACTCCTAACCACGAGTGTCTCAGTAAGAACAAATGGGAAGATTTCCAGTCTGTCCCTTTGTGCCAGGAGAGGGGAACCTCTTCGTTCCTAGCTGGAGATTTTCCCGACAGGAGCTCTTTTTTCCTAGAAAATTGTGTCCTTTAGGAAAGGAGTCCATTCCCTCCCAGTCCCTAGTTGGTATGGTATTTCTTGGCAGGTTAATGTTCTGTCCTTGTGGCTCTATTTTGATTGTACCAGAGGGTTTGGACTCTTTACCCACCCGATTTTGAATCTCTACATCGTTTTCAGTGTAGAAGAAGGACTGCCTATTCAGTCTATTTTTATGGAGGCGTAGCGGCTATTTGGGAGCTGTGTCTTTCAGTGGAGAGGGGACCAGACATCAACAACCCTCAGGGCCTCTTCCATCACCGTTCTGGCTGCCCCGTCGCCCCTCTCCAATGTGCACAAGTGCCTGATTTTGGGAATGGTCAGCGCCCTGCTGCTGTCTTCCTTGTGCCTGGCCAGGCAGGGCTTCCCATTAGCCTGCTTCCTGCTTGTTCCCATCAGGCTGCACAGTGTGTGGATACTAGGATTGGGGGAACCATGGGGCAATTCTGATTTGCTGCAGCTCCAGCGAGGGGCTCAATAATGAGCCCAAGCCTTGACAGTGGGTTCAATGCTAAGTCTGGGGAAAACTCCACTGAAAGCAGCCAAACCCGACATGGGATGAGGAGAAACAGGACACAGTAAAGACAGGCTCACTTGACATCAGACTTTATCTTTGGAAGCCTGAAGCGCTGTCCTTATATAAATGCAAAACAGACCCAAAAGGAATTACTATGATCTTTAAAAGGTCAGAGTGAGTCTGAACATTGATTTTCTTTAAGATGCTTTATCAATTAGAGACCAGAGGTTTTTTCCTGATGATATTTATTTCATAAATGTAATTATTTTTCTAAAACATTAAAATAGAAAACATGTTCTTTTGATCAATTTATACAAAGAAAATACCAATATAGTAATAAAAATACTGAAAATATATGAAAAGCACCAGAACATTAGAGAAATTACACTGGCAACAATTCTAAGAATATATTTTTTTGTAATTGTACAATAAAGTGCTATTAAATTCAGTCAAAATTAGTGGCAAGATATAAAAACAGTTATGATATTATTAAATTTGAGGCTAGGATTACCAGCAATTGCATTTTGGGGCTACTTGCAGGTCAAGCTAATGATATTTCATTAATGCTTTCATGGAAAATCTAATTTCCATTCCCAAGTGAAAACAAAAATCTAAATCTAAATGTTGCTCCTTGGTAATTTGGTCAAGAACAGGTAATGACATGACTAAAAATAAAATTATTGATTAGAGTACCAAAAATAATCATGCAATTGTGATTAAATAAAACCAAAGGAAGACAGAATAAAATCAAGTATAAATATATATGATTAATCAAGACAAGTACAAAAGTTTAGATGCCTTTGATTTTATAGTTAGTTTTCAGTAATTCTGCTTCATCACATTTAATAGACACACAAACATTAACAAGATATGTTATTAAATTCAACTGACCAGACATCGAGCAAGGATATTTTAGTGGGTCAACATAATTTTCATATGAAACATTAAAGGGACACCGTTAGGACAAAACATTTCCAATCTTGGCTAATTATTTCCTCATTTATTTGCTGAGGAACAAAAAAACATACACAAATACTTTGGGATTAGATTGTATTAAGGCCGAAAATCTACCAGGTAAAGGGAAGGAAGCCACTGTGCACACACACACAGGGAGATATTGTGCACAGTACTTAGAGTGGACTGCAGTCCGTTTCACATCTGGAGGTGGCAAACTGAAACAGAAAAGTCCAAATTAAGACAAAGTAGCACACCAGTGTCCTTTTAAGGTTTTATTTCCTAGGCCAATTTTGAAGGAACTCTATCATATTATTCTTCATAACTCAATTTTGGAATCAACTTCTTCAAGATGAAAGCCAACGACTCTACACCTCAGAATAATAATAAATCTCCAAACATGGCTCAATTGAAACTCAAAATTTATTTTACAGGCAGACTATTTTTTTCTTTCATATAAAGTAGACGTACACGTGAACCAACATGGACTGAAACTGGTCATGTTAATGAGAAAACAAGCTAATTTCATTAGCCTCTGCTACTGCAAGGTGTATCTTTTTAGGAATCTAGGAACCATACCGGGTGAGTATTACTGTATCCAAGGCAGAATATCAAGTAAGTCAATTAGTCCTGGCTGAAGGTTTTGCAGTTCATTGTGAGTTATATTTTTCATTCTTTAACATGGAGAGCTGACACTTGAGCTTGTATGTTTTTGTTTTGTTCTTTTCACTTTTATAGACACTCTAGTCTTTTGTTAAGTTTCCTTCTCATGGCTGATTTTAACAAGGAACATTTGAAACCTAAATTAATTATCCTGCTTAGCATCTCGAAAAAATAACTCCAAAAAATTCTATCCGACACCTTTCACTTAGAAATGAGGGTGAAGATGGTCCGATTTGCTGTCCACAGAGACACTCCTCTGCTCTGGAATGAGGGTGAAGATGGAACAACAAAGGATCAGGCCTTTATAATAAATCAGGCAAAAGGTTCAGTTGTCTAGGCAGGGATAGTGGACAACATGAAGGTGTATAAAAATGACTGGAAAGGGGGACTGCTTGGAGAGACTTCCCTCTGGGCATTACTAACAGAATTCGAAGAAAATCCAACCACACTTAGTTTTCCAAATTCTATCCCAATGAGAGTGTTCATAAAAAAGCCCGATATTAATAAAAGGCAGGCTGTTGAGGAACACTGAGAAACAAAGGCTAAGGTGGTTTGGCATTAAATAGGTTTACATTCCAAAAGAATATTGACTATCATCTGGAAGTAATTCTCAAAATTACAAAGTTATGATTACATAAATTTCTCTGTATGTTTTCTTTTTCAATATACATGTTTTTCTATATACATAGTATAGAAAAGCTAATAAGTTGGCTCAGCTATAATAACTCTGTCATAAAAAAGCAGATTACATTTTTTTGGCTGCAACAAAGCATGTTACTTATATTTTTCAGTTCAGCTAATATATTTACATGGTAAAACTTAAGCTTTAAAAGTATTCAAATCAAAAGGAAAAAATAAATTATATTTAAACTATTAATTTACACAATGGATATACCTTTACTTACTTTACTAAATAGCTATAGTCTCCTATAATCAGTTTCTCCAGCATTTCTTTATTCTAACAGTTTATTTTCAAGACATATATGTGTTCCCCTATAGGTGCTGCACATTTCCTTTTAGGAAGCCCAGATGTGCAATACTTTTAGTAGCTTGGTGGAGAAGTTTTGGGTCTGTTACTTTTTCCAACTAATAGATGAAGGAGCTGTGTTTCCTAGCAGGTACCACTTCTTTAACTCTAAAGCAAATAGAAGAAAGAGATGACAAAAGCAAGCAAGAGCACTGTTAAGGAAAGCAGCAGCTGCTGGAACCAGATACAGTGCTGCACTTGGTCTTCAAGCTTCCTATTGCTTTCTAGTAAACGATTGAGCTGAAGAGGGAAAAAGGGATGAAAGATTTGTCAGTAAAACAGTCACTAATCATGGGCATGACAAACAAGAATATTAGAAATCCAAACATTGAAGGGATTGGACCCATCTTCTCTGAAAAGCTGGGAGCTGGAAATGTAACGAGGCATTAGATTTATTTGGTGGACAGATGTGTCTCTGCTTACTCTCATTTTGAAAGGTCTAAATTTTTAGTTGAGAGAGGAGCAGAGCAGTCACTTCCTGGAGATATGAAATCCTTGAGCTACTGTCAGTTACTTAGCCCCTCTGTCTCTTTCAAATTCAAACGTACTACGTGGTACTTTTTCCTCAAGATAAATTCTTTGATACCACCGCCCCCCCCAAGCACCTTGCGCTTTGCTAAAAATGGCCAGAGATTTTAAAGGTTAGCAAATCTCTAAAAGTAACTCGCTGCTTACCATTTCTGGTTTGGCATCTCTTCACAAAGAGAGCGTTTCTTTCATGTCTATGCCAAAGGGTTTTCCTTATAGCAGTGGGAAAAATGGATTTCTAATGTTGATTAGCATTAACAACTTTGTTTTAGTTAGGAAAAAGAAAGTATACTTACTTGTAGATATATATCTTCACTGGTTTTATCTGACATGTTAAAAGCATTGTCTTTTAACGTAAGAGTGTTTGGCTTACTGTTCTCAACAGTATGGCATCTTAACCTATGAAAGTCCAAAGGAAACAACTTGTTTAAAGTTTTAATGAATTTTCTTATAAAAGTAAAATATTAAAATGAAAAAAGTTAAATGCAAAAGTCTGTAACAAAGGTGAAAGTCCTCATTCCTCTCCCCAGGTTCACCTAGGGTGGCAGCTCAGTAACCCATGGGATTCAACAAAAAGTTTTTTATATGGTATTCAGTAGAATTCATCCAAATATCTGACGATGTGAAGGAAACCACCCTTTCTAGAAAGGAGAAAGGTGCTTTACTCTTCGGCCTTCAGTACACACCCACCAAGCACCCCTCCCACTTTCTGTGAGAACACAGTGATCTCCTCTCAGTTACAGAAAAGCAAGCCATTAGGAATTGATAAAACAAAAACCAAAGAAACAAAGCAACTCATACATAACAAAACCAAAAGAAACACCCCTCATGTTGAAGGACTGTTTCAAAGGAACTTCAAATAAATTTTCAACGCCTTTTATACCAGTGTTTTGTAACCTTTCAACGTATTCCGATAACTGCCTTTGACCAAAAAACCCCACAGAAACTTGATAAAAGCAAAAAGTAGGCCCTCCTGTACTATAATTTGAAAATTTTAAATTTTCCATATACAAACAAGGCAGCCACTGACTTCCACCTGCCTTGTTCCTCCCCTGAACTAAGGTTAATCCCCCACCACCACTTTAGGTCCTCCCCTTTTAGCCTTCTCAGGAATTTCACTGTCCATGATCTATCTTGTATTGTCCAGCCTCTCCTCCTCCAATGGTCCTTGCCACAGGCTTTTAAACAATGCTCAAATCTCTCCCATGAAAAACCCCTTCATCAATACAACATTCCTCCTTGCAAATACCGCCGCAGATCCCTCCCCAACCAGCCAAACCTCCAGTGCAGTTTGACCACCTCCATTTCTTTAGCATCTGGCCTGTTTTATGTGGCTCCTGAAGCCTGAAAGTGCTCTCTGTAAGGTCACCAATGACTTCAGTGATATCACAATCAATGGGCCCTGCCCACACATCCTTCTTGACCAGCATGGCAGCATCTGGTACTGGTAGTCCCTTCTCCTTTGTGAAATATTGTCTTTGTTGGGCTTTGATGACAGTCACAACAGAGCCTGCCTACTGGTTTTCCTCCTAACTCCCTGCTGGGTCAGCTTGTTCCATTTGGCCACTAAATATTCCTCTAGGCTAGGTCTAACATTTCTCCTCTCTTGCTGGACAACTGAAATAACACTTGTTTCCCCTGGCCCACTCTTGTTCTCTTCCACTCTGTTACCTGCACTGCAAACAGGATGATCTTGTCAAAGGCATGTCAGATCGGGTTGCCACTCCATTGCTGGTTTTGTGATGGAGACTGAGCTCCTGCTCTGGCCCCAGCCTGCCTCTCCAACTTTCTTTGTTACCATGGATCCTCTCATTCTCTGTGTTCCAGCCATGTCTGTATTCTTTCAATCCCTGTTTTGAAGATTTCATTCAACCATGACCATTGCCAGGTTTCGCAGCTTCTCATCTATAAAGAGGGAAAAATACCTCCCTCTCTCATAGGGCTGTCTTCATGACTGAATGAATCAATAAGTGTAAAGCATCTAGAACAGTGCTGGCACACAGCAAATTCTACTTCAGTGTGAATTTGGTATCACTGTTCCACCTGAGCCTGCCCACCATCTAGTTTCTACAGAGCCTCCAGAAGAATCCTTTTAAAAAATAAGCCAGATCACCTCAAGGCTTTGCCTTAGCACCAATTAATGGTTTCTCCTCTCAAATTCATAAGTCATCCCCACAGCAATGATCTGGTTTCTTACTATCTCTTTGTCTCCATCTCCCGCCAAGCTTACTAGATTCAAGTGACATTGACCTCCTTGCTGTTCCTCACATAGGCCAAGTACACTCTCCTTTCATTTGTTGTTCCTTCCGCCTGGAAAGATCTCTGTCCAGTTATCTATGTGGCTTACTCATTTCCTTCAGGTCCTACTCAAATGTCATCAGAGTGTCCATATTTAACTGCCCTATAAAAGAAAGTTTCTCAACCTTGGCACTGTGGACATTTAGGACTAGATCATTTTTTTTTGGGGTGGGGGCTATCCTGTGCACTGCAGGAGGTTTAGCGGCATCCCTAGGCTCCCCCGACTAGACGCTCATGGCAGCCCGTGACCCCAACTATAACAACTAAAAATGTCTCCAGACATTGACAAACATCCCCTGGGGAGCAAAACTGGGAACACTCCAATAAACTATAATTCCAATTTAAAAAATTAAAAATAGCCAAACAAAACTAAAGCACAGCCTTCTCTATTCTCCGTTTCTATATATCTTTTCAAGACATTTGTCACAACCTGATATGTGCACATACATACATGTATATACCTACACATTCACAGGTTTTCCCCCCTCTTAAATAGGATAATGTCAAAAAATTTTTTCTGTGACTAGATTGTTTTTCTAATAATATATCACAGATGTCTTTCCATGTTAGAACCGACTTATACTTTTTTGAATGGCTACAGTATTCTTTACGTGGATATACTTAAATGTATCTCACTATTGCTTTAACTGGTGACTACTTAGGTTCTTTATCTCCAATTTTTCACTATTTAAACAATGCTGCAACAAACATTCTAGTACACAAGGCAAGCATTCCTACAAGGAAAAATGCTGGAACAAAGAGATCTGTTTTTGTGCTCCGGACAGATCCAGACTCTTGTACCGGCCTGAAAACAAGTTTCTGCTATCAGCAATCTCCTTGAACAACTCTGTGTCTCATTCATCTGGGCAACCCCACAGGCTCACTGGGTGCCTGGTCATGCCGGAAGCTTCAACACCTACCAAATGAGAGAAGGAGGGGCCCCTTTCTCTTTCTGATTCTTCCCACTACATTCGAGAGTGTGTGACTAAAAAGCTTACCTATGCTCCATCACTTTGTTTCTGGGAACTTCTTTCCAAAACTGAGTCAATTCTGTTGGACCTGTGCCAGATGACTGTTCCATTTCTGCAGCCATTATCAGGAAACGGTCTTGGGCAGAGACTGTTAAACCTGCATTCCAAACAGGTAATTTAGCATATAAACAGGAAGCTTTACAAGGGGTTGGATATGTATGAGGTTTAAGGCATTATTCTGGAATACCACATTAAGGAAAAAGAAGAAAACGAACTTCCTTAAAAAGGAAAAAGTTCTAAAACTGAGGAATATTTTTGGAAATTCAATTTCAATTGGTGTCAGTTTAAACAATTTTACTCATTAAAAACAATTACATTTTAAAGCTGGAAAGGGCTTTAGGCTTCGAGGCTTTGACCATCTCATTTCACATATGAGAAAAGAGATATTTAGAGTGAGGTGAGGTGCTGATACTCTAAGTTTTAGATTGTAGCCCAACATTTTTGATGACTCAGGGCTCAGCCTCAGGTCCCCTGCCCCCACCACACCTGCTGTGGCTACTAAGTGACAACTCACCCCCATGGGGAGACACAACTATATCAACTGATGCACCCGGGTCACAGCTGCTGTTGCTTGGCTTGACTCTGTATTTTTCTGGAGCAGTTGTTCTCACCTGTTTATAAGCAGTAGTCATGTAACAAGCTTTATGGCTATTTGGGGGAAATGGCTTAAGAATGACTTTTTTAAAAATCAGCAGTTAATCAATGAACAAAGAGTTTACAAAGCAACATTGGTGGTTATGCACAGAATATATCTGTCCTCACTAACAGGAAAAAACCACCTCGATCTATCTAAAAAGATACTCGTATGTAAGTCCAATTGTCACCTAGCCTTCCTCTTAAATAAAGAAATTAATCCATCTGTTAAATATCCTGTTGGCTAAGAGCCTGAATTTAATGATGCAAATTCACAAAAACAGAATGCACATTAGTTTTCATGTTGCAATAGTGTGTTTAGAAATTAAAAAACAGTAGATAAATAAAGCATATCAGGAACATCCTAGTGGTTATATCTAAATTCAACAGAAGATTTAAGGAAGGAATATGTACAATATGGGGTGGTGGTGAACTCAGTCTTGTTAAACTTAATTAATGCTCAGTATCAGGTTAGTATCCAATATAAACCACACTCCAGAATATACCACACCTGGGGGGAAATGTACTATCAATTTTATAGTTTTACCTTTCACTGTTGTTATGAATTAAATTATTCATATAATGAAGAGCGATTTTTCCTGAGTTTTTATTTACAACAAACATTAAACCCTGGGATTAATTCAGACATTAGCCTATTACTGCACATTAAAGATTTAGATACCTCAGGGAAAATTTTAGATAAGCTATACCACTTAGTTAGAACCAGAAGGCAGTACAACATGCTTAAAAATATTATAAAAACATGGTACAAGTTCAAAATCATCAATCTTTCAACTAAAGTATGTCTAAAATCACTTCCCATGTCAAATTCTCTCAGATAATTTATGAAATCTTTAAGATATTTACCTTAAATGCCACTATATTTTTAGTTACATTTGTCAACACTATTAAAGTTTTCTTCTCTCCAGATTCTGTACTTCCAAAATACAGTTCTTCTGCTGGGCTAGATAGTGACAAAAACATAAGGTATTTGTAATACTCAGAATAAATGACAGTCTAATTATTACCTTGAAGAAAAATATTTAGTTAATATCTTAAGCTCATTTATATAAAGAGATTTCACCAAAAATGACTACAGAACAATTACCTAATATAATTCTGTATTTTAATCTTGCTGATTCAACACATGCTATTTAAAAAAATCCTATGGTTTTGCCTAAGATCAAAAATAAAACAGGAAAGAACAGAAGAGAGAATTAGGAAGATTCCGAATTAATCCTATAATCAGCACTATCTTAAGGTGTATTTATTTAAACTATTTTGGAAGGTGATAATAATCAAAGCAAAGATGGTATTGCTGTTTCAACTTTATCTAATTACAAATAGATTAGAATGGGGTATATTTTTATATACCCACAGAGAAGAGCATAAATTAAAAAGAAAGATTGCTAGGGATGTATTTAAGTAACAGAATAATTTCTTACTATATTACAGTTTCCCTAAGTAACAGGGAAGGAGAAAAACAAGCAAGTCTGGGGCAGAAACTGCACAAAGAACTTATCAAATAGCAAAACTGGCGAGTCTTAAACTTTAAATTTTACTATTATTGGCCATTGTAATGCCCATGACCTAAAATAAAAATTGAAAGACTCATGCAAAGTTTGTGTAGTTTAATTATATTAGCCAAATTGTATCAGGTGCCTCAAAACAATGAGGAAAACAGTGTTTTTTGTTTTACATAAAAAGTTGAAGAACTTAACTGAGTCTTCAGATAGTCCTTGATTTTGAGATCCATCTTTAAATAGATTTATTTTATATCAGGAATATCTGTATATCAGGGATATTTATCAATTTAGAGAACACATTTTTAAGGAAGAGCTCTCCCAGAATGGCTTTGCCTAGCTTTGGACAAGATGGTGAATCAGCATGATTATTGCTGGCTTCCTTTTAGAACCCAATCTTAAGGAAGTTACAGAAAAGACGGTAAGCTTATGGATCTCAGAATTGCTCTCAGTAGCAAGCACAAAAACTGTGAGCAGCTGTAGGGAAATAGATGTTGGTTGGGTCCTTGTGCATGTGTAAGAGCAGCTCTGGGACTTTATTGGGGGTGGAGGCAGGGTGAGGCAGAGCCCAAAGTGCAGTTGAAAAGCTGTGCTGCTCCAGTCTGACTTTCTCCGTAGCCTGTTCTTCCTGTCACACCTCTACACTTACAGGCTAGACAGGCCTCCAGTGAAAACACAGAACATGTAACTTTCAAACAAATAGAGGGAAAAATGAGAACAAGCAAGCAAACAACAACAAAAAACTCTAAAGGAGGAAAATGGCAAAGGAAAACAGAAAAGGCATGTGCAACATGCAGATCTCTTTCACCCACACAGATGGTGAAGATAAATCCAAATATAATAGGAAACAAACCAATCTTGTCAATTAGAGAATCTCAGATTTTTAAAAAGTCTGAATGTATTGTTCGTAAGAGATATATCTAAAGCATAGTTACGCAACAAGGTTTCAATGCTACATTAGATCATAAAGTTGGTGTGGCAATATTAACATAAGGAAAAATAGATTTACCAACCAAAAGCATCATCAGTGAGAAAGAGGTCTTTAGACAATGATGAAACAACCCTGAATCTTTTGAATCAAATAACCTAGCAACAAAAATAGAGATGTGCTGAAATTTGGCTTTAGTCATAAACCTATTTTTCTGGTTCACCTTTCACTGTTGGAAGGTCAAATCAACAAATGCCTACTTCAGTGTCACTTCTGGCATCCCTAAACTTGTGCAAGTCTAATAATGGTAACAGTAACATGAGAGAAATCCATGAAATTCAGATGTTACTATTTATTGTTAATAATTTATTAATATAGTGTTTATTTCATTATTTGATGTGTGAGAACCCTTTAAACACACTCAACAGAATAAGAAAAAGGTAGCTAAAAATATCCACTATGCCAGAATCAAGGCAAGTCTTTTAGATAACCCTTAATTTTGTATTTCTACAGTTTCAGAAATGTAATTTTTCTTAATTTTGCGGCTCCCCCAAGATGATCAAGATATGTTATAAAAGTATAGCTAATAAAATCTTCAACTATTACCTGATGTGTAATAAGGGTCCTTTAAACACACTCAATGGTTTCTTGAAAGCTTTTATTTTTGAATCAACTTTTTCATTTTCTTCTGTTTTTGAAGTAGATTCAGTTGGGTTAGTCTAAAGGCCAAAAAAAAAAAAAAAAATGAAAGAAAACATAAATTTAAGTGTCACACTGACAGTTGGGCAGATCATTAGGTCCAAGTAAACATTATTTTAATTCAATCCAAATTATACTCTTAACCATAGGTTTATTGTACCTATTTAGCATATATTAACATGACCATTAACGTATATTTGAGTGCCTACTACAAATAGGTTACTGTAGAAAATATAACATGGTCCTTTCTTTAAATTTGTTCTAAATTATAATATTGTATTTATCCCTCTATCAAGTCCCTGATTACTTGTAAAAAGGGTGACAACTAAGTGCTGTTTAAAAAATAAAGGAACTAGAACAACGTAAAGTTTTAAATTAATTACTTTTATTTTAGACAAAAAATTCCTTCCAGATGCATTTTGCTAATTTTTATACAAAAGCATGGAATCAGCCAGTACACTAAAGTGGTGCTACTAGTCAGCTAGTCCCATCTTCCTCTTATTTTTTTACACACAAAGATATGGAAGGGCAGCAAGTTAAGTGAATTACCCAAAATTACATAGCCAGCTAGTGGTAGAATTGGGGCCAGACTACAGCTTTTGACTCAGTTTCATTTTATTTATAAAATTACCTTTTTAATAAGAGTTGTTTGTTCTTCATTAGAAACTGTTTCCAAGGTTTCTTTACCATCACTTTCTATATCTTCTTTACTTGAAGTTTCATCCTCACTGGTAATAGGCCCATTCTCACACAATGGTGTCTGGAAGTCGTCATCTACTAGTGGTGGATAGCTATACTTGAAAGGATCCTAAAAGAAAAGTATTTCACATCAGCCTGCCAAGAGGTGGATAGAGAAATAATTCTCTTACTGGATTTAAAACTCATTATTTTGGCCAAGAAAGCAGACTTAATTAGATAGTGAAATTTAAAATAAAGGAAGCATTTCAAATCAGAAAGGAAAGGAGCAATAAGTGGTGTGAAGACAGTTGGCTAGCCATTTATACAGCATCAAGTTAGATTGTTAGTTCACTCTTTATGCCCAAAAGAATTTCAGATGGATAAAAACTTTAAATGTGTGTATGTTTTTTAAAAAACACATAAGCTCCAGGACAACACAGAAGAGGATTAAAAATAAAAAACCTAACTAGGGAAGACCTTTGTATACATGGCACAAAACCTAGAAGCCATAAAAATATTGATAAGAATTGAACACACACTGAATGAAACATTTCTGAATAGCAAGAAAACAAAACCTAACCAATCAACCAAGAACAACAAAATATACCTAAAAACTAAAAACAGAAAGGATTCTTTTTTGTTTTAAAAAGGCCGCAACTGGGAAAATATGTACCACATACATCAGGAAAAAAAAAAAGACAGCTTTTATTAATATATACAAATCAATAAGAAAAAGACTTAACAACTCACCAGAACAAGGGTAAAGGAATGATACAGAATCCATTGAAAAAGAACAAACATTGCCTTTTGAATCACATGTAAGTACATATAACATCACTTATAATAAAAGAAATGCAAGTTAAAAACCACAATAAAGTATTTTTCACCTGAGACTGGCAATGATCACAAAAATGAGACTATGAAGTGTTGGCAAGAATGTGGCGCCAGGGTTCCCCACAGACTATTGGTAAATGGGCACAATCTCTTTAGAGGGAATTTGGCAACAGCTATCAAAATTAAAAACTAACTATACCCATTGACCCACTGATTTTAATTCCAGGAGTTTATCCTATATGTACATTTGCTGCACCTGTGTACCAAGAGTTGTTTGCAAGGATATTAGTAATGGCAAATTAGACAACAACTAATGGTCCTTCAAAAGAAGACTGATTAAATGAATTATGTTATATTCATCCACACAATGGAATATTCTGCAATGGTTTAAAAAATAAGACCTCTATGAATAAAACAGACCTCTATGAATCAATATAGTATAACCTACAAAATAATGTGACAAAAGCACAAACAATATGCATGGTATATGACCATTTGTGTAAAAAATTGTAATGGACAGATAACTCTGGAAGGCTAGAAAACAGTGACTGCTTCTAGGGAGCGGCAGTGGGCACTGACCTGGGGAAAGGGAGGTACTTCTGACTGTGCTGTTATACTTTTCGATCTCTGGTATTGTTTACTTTTTAAAAAAATCATCTGTATGTGTTACTTTTAAAATAAAAAAACCTTAAAAATTTATGTTAAAAAGTAGTCCTACTACAGTTTTGACTGAAATCCTGAAGAAATATATCACTAACAACAGAGAAGGAAAATAAAATAATCTTTTTATATGTAAAAATAAAAATCATTTTTATTAAATGCTATTAATTTTAAGATACAACAATTTTATGGGCAAATTATTAAAATGACAAATCAAATAAAATCACTGTGTTTAAGCATAGCATCTGAAATGAATGGTACTTGGTTTTTCTAGGTTAAAATGTGAAATATAAAGCCTCAGAATAAAAAAGCAGCAGATTCTAAATTAAAAACATTGATTCAAGTATTTTTAATCAAAAAAACAAACAGAAGGACATACCAAAACTTTTCATCTTGTTAGTCTGGTTGAATAAAATTTTGCCAGGCAGGCAGTATACAAAGTAGATTATAAAAAATCAAATAACTGAAATATTATCAAGTTACCCTAAAGTATACCAAGCCCATAGGTTTTACAGTTTATTTAAAGAAATCATTATCACAGTAAGTTTGTTATGTAATATTAAACATTTAACATGTACTCACATACTCCTGAGTTCTTATTTGTAAGTAGTAAGAATCAGTTCAAAAAATCTTGATAGTATAATGCTTAATAATATCTTTTCAATTAAAAAGACTGTTGAACAGCAAACAATTGGGAGCAAACTAAAGACATATCAAAAGGAGATTCAGTAACTTATGGTCCATCTCTAGATACTGGAATACTATGCAGCCATACACAAGAGTATGTGAGGCTTGCCACATACTGATTTGGAATGATCTCTAAGATGATTTTTGGTGAAGAAGAAAGCAGGATGCACAACAGCACATAAATACACTACCTGTTTAAAAGAGATGGGAGGGAGCAAGAATTTATACTATATTTATTTGCTTACTTAGGCACTACATATCCCTGCAAATTAATATAAGAAATGTAAGTGGAGGGGAACAGGGTGGTTGGGGACAGAAGGAGGAGACACTTTACTGAAGACTTGTTTCTGAACATTCTTCGGAATTTTCATTAGTTTAGAACCATGTAAATACATTACTTATATAAAAAATAAAAATGTAACAACTTTAAAACTTAAGTATAAAATGTCTGTAACACTACTTGCTATTTTGGGGGTATCTGTGATCTTTCTTTGTATGTTATGAGATTGCTTTTCCTTTTTCCTTGAGGAAAGAATATAGCCTAATATGTGATTAGCCAATTACTTTATAAACAAGTCTTTAGGTATTATACTTACAGTTCCACCCATATGTGGAGGCAGGTATTCTACACTGACATAGTCCTGGACTTCATTTTTGCTTGTAAACTTCAACAAACTTACTGCTTCTGGACCAAGCCAGGTTTTCACAATTTTGAAAGCAGCTGGAAAAAAAAGTCACTTCATTAAAATTCTTTTCACTCTCTTTCTCAATTAATTTGCTGTAAGTGCTAACCTGGGCCTTCTGAAATCAGTTTGGGCTATAATCTGTTAATATTTATCTTTACGTGGCATGATACTTAATTAACATCCTCTAATTCCTATAGGCATTTACATTGTGACTCTCCCTTATGGGTTGCAAATGTTCAATGAAGATTCAGGAAGATTAAATTACCCTTATATACATGAATAAACTTATCAGAGTTTTGGCCTCTGAATAAATCCATCAACAATCTCAACTATTTAGATTTCCAGACACCGAATCAAATTACAATGTGATTCAGGAAATAACTGCACAATAGTATGGAAAGAGTCATTTACTTTACGGTTCTGATAAACTCTCAATCTGAAAAACCTTTTAAAATGGGAAGTCATGAGAGAAAGAAATAGCCCTCCTCATTGTAAATGTGAGCCAGACCCAGACTTCCTTCCTAACCCTAAACTTTGCCTTTCTCTCAAGCCCTGCAGTTTATATAATTGTGGGGAACTTAAACAATCTACAAGAATAAACTGTTATCAAACACAGCTGTTTGGTAATTACAATCTTGTTCTGTCATGCCATTTCTTATTTATACTTAATTTTTTAAATCTCATTTCCATTGTGACATTCTAAGTACATTTTTTAAAGAAGTTAAAAGAGGAATACTGCATTAAATTTGCTAAAGTGTCATTTAAAAAAAACAAAACGAGCAGCATGATAAACATTAAATAGTAGTTTGGAAACATTACATTTTTACTTCCGCTATGATTTAAGTTTTTTTACATAACATTTTAATTTTCATTAATTACGATTCTAAAAGTTTGTGGGATGACATGTTTGAAGCTATGCTACTTTAGTTAGATAAAGTGCTAAGTCTGTTTTTTTCATAATAGGCTTTATTCAGATATAATTTACATACCATAAAATTCACCCTTTATATAATTCAATTTGTGCCACCATCACCCCATCTAATCTTAGAACATTTTTATCACACCAAAAAGAACCCTCACCTCGCCATCTTTCCCTATTCCCCCACTTCTAGTCCTTAGCAACTATTAATACTAATCTATTTTGTCTTCATGGATTTGCTTATTTTGGACATTTTATATAAATGTAATCACACATGTGGCTTTTTCTGTTGACGTTCACTTAACATGTTTTCAAGGTTCACCCGTGATGTGGCATGTATCAGCACTTAATTCCTTTTTATGGCTGAATAATTTTCCATTTTGTGCATACACAATATTTGTTTATTCATCAACTGATGACCATTTGGGTTGTTTCCACTTTTTGCTATTAAGAATAAAGGTGCTATGGCCGGGTGTGGTGGCTCACGCCTGTAATCCTAGCACTCTGGGAGGCCGAGGCGGGTGGATCGTTTGAGCTCAGGAGTTCGAGACCAGCCTGAGCAAGAGCGAGACCCCGTCTCTACTAAAAAAAAAAAAATAGAAAGAAAATTTGCTGGACAACTAAAAATATATAGAAAAAATTAGCCGGGCATGGTGGCGCATGCCTGTAGTCCCAGCTACTGGGGAGGCTGAGGCAGGAGAATCGCTTGAGCCCAGGAGTTTGAGGTTGCTGTGAGCTAGGCTGATGTCACGGCACTCTAGCCCGGGCAACGGAGTAAGATTCTGCCTCAAAAAAAAAAAAAAAAAAAAAAGGTGCTACGAACGTTTGTGCACAGGTTTCTGTATGGACATAAGTTTTCACTTCTCTTGGTATATACTGAGGAGGGGAATTCTGGGTCATATGGTAATTCTACGTTTAACTGCAAACTGTTTTCTAATGTTGCTAGACTATTTTACATCCTTACCAGCAAGGTAAGAGGGTTCCGATTTTCTCGCCAATAACTGTTAATGTATTTTTTTGATTATGGCCACCCTAGTGGGTATGAAGTAGTATCTCACTTGGTTTAGACTTGCATTTCTCTAATGATTACTAATATTGAACATCTTTTTATGTGTTTATTGCCCATTTGTTTATCTTTGGAAAAAACATCTATTCAAATCTTTGGCTGATTTTTAATTGGGTTACCTGTCTTTAGATTGTTACACTGTAAGAATTCTTTTATATATTCTAGATGTAAGTCCCTTATCGGATATATGACTTGTAAATAATTTCTTTTGTTCTGAGATTTGTCTTTCCACCTTCTTAGTAGTGTCCTTGAAAGCACAAAAGATTTTAATTTTAATGAAGTCCAATGTTATCTATTTTTTGGTTTATTGTGCTTTTGGAGTCATATCTAAGAAACCAGTGCTTAGTCCAAGCACAAGGATTTACTCCTATGATTTCTTCTAAGAGTTTTAGTGCTTACATTTAGGACTCCAATCCATTTTGAGTTACTTTTTATATATGCTTTGAGGTAGGGGTCCAATTTCATTCCTTTGACTGTGGATACCCAGTTGTCCCAGAACCATTTATTAAAAAGTTTTCTTTCTTTACTGACTTGTCTTGGCACCATTTTATAGTTAAAAAAAAATCGATTAACCATAAATGTTAGGGTTTATATCTGGACTCTCAATTCTATTTCATTGATCTATATGTCTATCCTTTTTTTTTTTTTGAGACAGAATCTCACTCTGTTGCCCTGGGTAGAGTACAGTGCCACCACTGTAGCTCACTGCGGCCTAAAACTCCTGGGCTCAAGCAATCCTCCTGCCTCAGCCTCCTGAGGAGCTGGGACTACAGGCACATGCCATGATGCCTGGCTAAATTTTTTATTTTTAATAGAGATGGGGTCTCACTCTTGCTCAGGCTGGTCTCGAACTCCTGAGCTCCAGCAATCCTCTTGCCTCGGCCTCCCAGAGTGCTAGGATTATGAGCATGAGCCACTGTGCCCAGCCTACATGTCTATCCTTATGCCCATACTGTAATGTCTTGATTACTATAGCTTTGTAGTAAATTTTTGATATCAGGAAGTGAACAACTTTGTTGTTCTCTTTCAAGATTTTTGTTTTATTACGCTGGATTTCTTGCATTTTCTTGTGAATTTTAGGACATGCTTGCCAATTTCTGCACAGAAGGCAGCTGGACTTTTGATAGGGACTGGATTAAATGAGTAGATCAATTTGGGAAGTATTGCTATCTTAATAACAGTCGGCCCTCCATATTTGTGGGTTCCACATCTGTGGATTCAACCCACTGTGGACCAAAAACATTAAAAAATAAATAAGTAAAAAATAACAATACAATGAATAAAAAATAATACAAATAGCAATGTTTACATAATCCTTCATTTGTGTAACGAAGAATTAGCTTTACCCAAAGAGTGGCCTGGCCTTTGCCCTTACCTTCTGGGAGGTAATCTTCATGCCTGATACGATTGTCTTTGTCTAGGGGCCTTGGCTCACATTGGAGCAATATAATTTAGGGTAGGAGCTGGCCATGGTAGAAAGACCAACAAAGTGATTTAGGGTGGGAGCTTTGGGTCACATGGTATCAGAAGACCTCTGGGGAGACTGGAGACTAAGGTCTGTGTGGGCAATTAATCACATCTTTGTAACGGAGCACCAATAAAAACTCTGAACACTGAGGCTTGAGTGAGCTTCTGTGTGGCAATACTCCATGCACATTGCCACATGTTGATGATGGCAAAGTAGTGTGCTCCAATTTGGTACTTCCCTGGACTCTGCCTTACATTTTACTCCCCTTGGCCGATTTTAATCTGAATTCTTTCTCCATAATGAACCAATCATAACTGTGAGTATAATAGCTTTCAGGGAGTTTTTGGAGTCCTTCACCAGAATTATTGAACCTGAGGGTGATTTGGGGCACCTCCTGAAGGTACAGGTCATGTCAGAAGTGAGAGTGGTCTTGTGTGGACTACTGTGCTCCTTCTAACTGTGCAGTTGTTCCAACTCTTTGTACCTTATATTATTTGTTTGTTGAATGCTTTTATCATGAGAGGGTACTGGATTTTGTCAAATGCTTTTTCTGTGTCTACGGAAATGATCATGTCTTTTTCCCCCTGCATTATATTAATACGGTGGATTACACATTGATTGATTTTCATATGCTGAACTCATTTTGCATTCCTGAGAAAATCCCACTTGGTCATGGTGTATAATCCTTTTCATATGCTGCTGGTTTCCTAGTTCTTTGTAGAGGACTGTTTGTGTCTATACTCATAAGGGACACTGGCCTGTAGTTTTCTTTTGCTGTGATGTTTGGTATTGGGGTTATACCTGCCTTGTAAAATGAGTTGGGAAGTATTCCCCCCTCCTCTATTTTTTGGAGGAGTTTGCAAAGAATTGGTGTTGATTCTTCTTTAAATGTTTCACAGAATTTACCAGTGAAGTCATCTGGGGCTGGGCTTTTCTTCGTGGGAAGTTTTTTGATTATTAATTTAATTTCCTTTGTTATATTTCTACTCTGATTCTTCTTGAACTAGTTTCAGTAGTTTGTATCTTTCTAAAAATGTGTCCATTTCATCTACAGTATCTAATTTCTTGGCATACAATTGTTCATAGTATTCCCTTATAATCCTTATTTCTGCAAGGTCAATAGTGATGTACCTTCTTTTGTTTCAGATTTTAATAATTTGAGTCTTTCCTTTTTTCTTCATCGGTTTAGCTAAAGGTTTGTCAATTGTGTTGAACTTTTTAAGTTTTGGTTTTATTGATTTTCGCTATTGCTTTCTACGTTAACAATTGACTTTTGCAAACACAAATGAGAATGCACATTCTGAAAATAACATTAAATTTATAATCACTTTAAAGTTGGACAAGAGTGTTTTTCAATGGCCCTTTTCAAAACTTTTTTACCAAAAAATATATGATGACTGTCAAAAGGGTCCTGTGACTACAGTGATTTGGGGTGAGTTTCAGATTGACCCCACCTTCTTCCTCAACACCTAAAGACCATGAGAAAACCTAGACAAGGCTTGTGTTCTGTGACACACCTTATCTGTGGGTGACAAACTGAGGCTTCTGGCTATAACTTTACCTGAATGGTTGAATATCTTGAGACTGCTTTTAATTTTTTTTTTTAAGAGACAGGTCTCACTATGTTGCCCAGGCTGACCTTGAACTCCTGGGCTCAAGTGATCCTCCTGCCTCAGCTTCCCAAGTTCCTGAGTAGCTGGGACTACAGGCACACGCCTCCGCACCCAGCGAGGCTGTTTCTAAAGACTAATGGATGCCCCCAGATCCTGGGGATAGAATATTAGCCCTGTTGGCTTAGGAATAGCCTTTCAGTATTCTAGCTCCAGTCTCTTAAGACTACATGCCAAAAACAATATAAACATTCTTATAAACTACTGTAGAAGTATGGCTAACTTGACAAAGTGAAGAAAAAAGAAAATCAGACATCTTGTTTTAAGAAAGCATAAATAATATACTCACCGTTCATTAACCAAGGCATATCAAAGATCACAATTTTTGCTGAAAGATGAAAAAAATTCATTGAATATGACTTAGTACCTCTATAGTAATATCATGTATACCTGGCCTAGAAAAAATTGGTCACCTAAATATAAGTACAAACTGAGCTGGTTGACTGAGTTCTAATTCAGAGAAGTGTGACTGGTGCTAGAACCGAACAACTAGCATCTCACAACGGTGAGGGGCCTGCCCAGGACGGCTTGGGGGAAATCAATAATGTAATCACTATCCTCTGGCAAACAGCTTATTCTTTTGTTCATTCACTGCTTTTGTTGTTTGCAGAAAGGTACAAAAGAAAATAGTTAAGTGAATAAGTGGAGTCTTTGGATGTAGCATGTTATATTAGCGCTGGAAGCCACTGAACTTAAAAACATTTCCACATCTAATTTATGGTTTCGATTATAATTTTCTAGACATTATTATATTGTTAAATCAGTCTCACAGTTGCCCCCTCCCCTTTTAATAAATCATTATGTTTTAAGAAACAAAAATCATTTCTACATTTCTTAATATCATGAGCTCCAAGAAACCAGTAATTCCAAAGTATGCAGAAGTATTATTTACACACTGAGCTGAAGATATTAAACAGCCATATTAACAATTGTGAGAAAGAACCAGAAACCATAAAGATTTTTGAGATCCAATTCATTGTTCTATTTCAGATGAATCAAAATGTAATTTCATTCTTCTATGAGCAGAGACCCTCCTAGAGGAGTTATACTAATGTATGATTAGTAAAGTACATATAAGGAATAAGGTATCTGTAAAGAGGTACCCTGGTGCTTAATACTCCAGTGTTCATTTGGGATATATTTAAAAAGATCTAGACTCAAATTTTAAGATATAATAGTTATATTTCATGACAGATTTTGAATAATCAATTTAAGATTCCACAAAATTCACTGTCTGCCAAACTACGTCATATACGTAGAGTATATATGTTATCTCTAGTTAACCGAAATGAATAGTATTCTAATTTATCTTTATATAGATCCATGAACTTATTAATAGTTCTCTCAAAGGAATCTTCAAAGTATTTTTTAAAGTAATAATAATATTTATACTATTTATAAGTGGCTCTTTACATATTCCATTAAATATTTCAATAAACAAGGGAATATCTTATTTTCATTTTGTCCCTAAGAGCAGCAAGCTAATAATATGAGGTATTGATTCTCTACTGACCACTGACTGGCACTGGTCAGCAAGCCTTAATGAATCAGGGTACATGCCAGATACTGGAAGAATTAATAAGGAACAGTAGATACTACAGGTTCTCCAAACTGGACACAATTGGTTATTCTCTTTACCTGAAAACATTCACGAATATTCCCTTTGAAGAGATGAGGGTACAGGGCTGGGGGTGGCATTGATTCTTGATATCTACCATGCTTTTTGTCTGTTCCTTACTTCACATTAGCAACAACAATATGAAAGCATGCCAAAGTAAGATGATTTAGGGATTTCATGCTTTAGTGTCACCTGCGTCATGAGTCCCAAAAGACCCAATTTGCTGTATTTGCCAGTAGTGTGCCCAGGTAGACCTAGGAATTTCCATTTTCTGATGTCCCTGTTGCCTCTCTTCTGTCTTTTCACTTTTAACCCACTAGGGTTAAATATATTTGACTGTTTATGTGAATTGGCATGTTGATTTTCCCAAGGGGAACCCCCTCATACAAATTCAACAAATAAAAAATGAGTATGTAACGTTTTTTTTCTTTTTTTCCAAGTATTTTCTTAATGGCAATTTTTCAACAGCAATTAGTAAACACTGTACTTTATGTATCAATATGGCTTATCACACAGTATACTTTGCTGATCAATACTGCTTTTCTGTTCTTGCAGAAGAAGTTCCATGTAATAAAAATTATTTTAAATAAA